AGTAGATAGGTGCTTGCCAAATTATCCTTATGTCGGTCTTTTTTTGTACATTTCAAATACAAAAAATTTCAAATTTACTCCAAGGATTGCCTGATTGACTTACAGCTCCATCTATGTCTCTTGCTAACTTAGAAAAGGGCATTATGGTTCAGAAAGACTTGTTTAAGGCAAGTCTGACCTCCATGTTTCCCAGAAGCTACTGCCGAGTTTATTGTAGCAGCCTATCCCCAATTGTTACTTAATGAGTAACAATTAAAACAACTTAAAAGTAGTCTCATTTCCCCCAATTTTAGTAAAATTCCCTAACTTAGGAACATTTCATTGTCCCATCAGTGCCCTATCATAATCACATCTCTGAGACGTCCTCCAGCCCCGGGAGTGGGTGTAAGCAGCTTTTTCCAAATTGTATGTATCGTTTCAAACTTTCAGAGTTCAGAGAGAGAAGAGCCAATAGGATCAGAGGTAAAACCTACAGGTGACTTTATTGTCCTGAACTTAGTGACGTTCAGGAAAAGAGCTGTGTTTTTCTTTCCAGTGCTGTTCTGGAGCCAGCAGAGAGCCCACCATGGGAGCTCTGATGACAGTACCAGCTGTTTTCAAAATTAATTTATCCACAGAGTCCTTTCTTCTCTACCAGTGGAAGGGACGTCTGTACAACTTTTTGTGGAAGGGAAAAGAGGGATGCATATAAAAGAGCCGTGTGGCCCAGTGTGTCATCCCCCCACCGCTTCCTCTCCTGCCCAGATGGCTGCCTCACCCAGTGTCTGATAAAGGGGATAAGAAACCATGGACTCCTGCCCTGCAGAGCTGCATATGCTTGCAGGTTCAATTCTAGGCAGGGAAGGAAGCTAGCTAGAGCCAGCTGCCAGGGAAGGGAAGCTCAGAGCTCCTTTCTTTAAATGGTCCATGTGAATGGACATTGACGCTCTCTCACTGTCTCTGTCAAGTTACACCTTCTGCAGGTTAAGAGCCCTTCCCCCAATTCCCATGTCAGAGATAGACAGTTCGGGATCAGATGGGGGATCAGGACCCTGAGCATCCCGAGTCAGAGCCTGTGGATTCAACTGTGATTTCTTTAAGAGGCAGCAAGGATTGTTTCAGGATCTCTCCTAGTTTATTATCCTCTTAAAATGTTGGAAAGTGGTTATTTGCTTCTGAGTCTGGGGGCCTCCCTGGGTATTAGCAAATGTTGAGTGGCAAGGTGGGTCCTGTGTGTATCCTCAGGTGGGAAAATGCAGGTATCCATGTGTGTCCCGGGATGGGAACACTCCGTGTGTGTTGGAGGGGGAGCTCAGCAGCCTCTCTGGGTTTCGGTTACCCAGACCCCTCATTTCATTCCTCTGCTGGGTGTGTTTCTGTTTTTCAGCAGAGAGCAGATATATAATGGGGAAGAGGGGAGCCCCGTATCGCCACCTTTCTAGGAATTGACTAACATTTATCTAGAGAAGAGAATTAGAAATTCAAGACTCAAATTAAAATGGTAGGGCTCGACTAAGTTTTCTGAGCACTCTGTGGGTGTCCATTTTCTCTCCCTATGGGATTCTGTAGACAGTTAGGGCTTTGGGGGAGGGGGAGTGCCCTGGAAGCTGTTCCTATATCTGGTTGCTGTGTTCCAGAGCCTTCTGGGGAGCTTTTACAAAATGCAGATTCCTGGGCGTCCCTCAGACCAGAACCTCTGGCGACTGAACGCAGTCACACCAAAGCAGGAGAATGCCCAGTGATGGGCGTGTCTCGCCCACCCCACAGGGGAAGTGCCACACGAGAAGTGGACATATTCTGGCTCCCCAGCTTTGGAGCGTGTCTCCTTCACTCAGTGGCAAGGTTTGGCACTTTTCTTTAAGATGAGTAGCTTTCCATCTAAAGTCACTGTGCTGTAAAAGGCATTGACCCTCCCGCCGTTTTCTTTCATTAGAACTACTTTGCTGTGGAACGGTGGATTCTTCATGATGTGTTTATTGCCAAATTTCCTTCATGTTGATGGAATCCCCCATTCGTGGTGGAGGGGCCGCTGGCATGGCCTTGCTCTTGGCAAAGACTGCACCGGTGGCCCCCAGAGGTGGCCCGCCCCCGAGCTGCAGACTCCTGGTCTCCTGCTCCGCAGTGAAGCCGCAGGTTTACTGCGACCGGGGGCTGAGCTCCTGGAAAACACCCGCCATGCAGGCCACCGGGACACGCGGTGCCTTTGAGGGTTCTGGGGTGCATTTTGTGAGTGCTTCTGCCCACGTGCCCCACCTCCTGTCATCCCCCGCCTGGAAGCCAAGTGAGAGGTTCTGTTCGGAGTTTGGCAGATCTGCCTGGTTTGGGGCTGTGCTGGGACGGACTGATCTCGTGATGGCGATGCTGAAATCAGATGTCAGGAGGGGGCCTGTGACTGTCCTTATAAGCTCTCTGGAAGCCACAAGCCACCTCACCTCAGAGCAACTCGCTGGGGACGAGATGCTGGGGGTTCGTCCAGACTCAGGTCTCCCACCCACCACAGGGAAGCCTGAAAGTCGCACGCAAGTGACACGGCTGCAAAATGCTTATGATTTTTACTTTAAGAAACACTTTAAAAATAAAGTATAAAGAATAATGTAACTGACACCTGGGTACCTACCTCCCAGAGTTGACATAAAATTTTTTTATCATATTTGTTTAGAGTTTTTAAAAAATGAGTAAAATGTTATATAAAATACGTCCTATTATATGTAGGACATGGTATTACATATATTCTATTAGATATAGTGCATGATATTATATACCTGCCCACACTCATTCCCTCCCCACCTGGAAGACAGTCATTTCTTGAATTTGCTATATGCCTTTTCTATCCGTTTTTAAAAATAGCTTCACGTGTGCATGTATACAAACCATGAACAGTAGACATTGGTGTTCTCCGTGCTGTTTTAAGCGTGTGAACAGCCTTATGCATTACTCTCCGGTCTGCCTTTCCGCCCCACCACTGGGGACACACTTGGCCCCCCTGCTTTTCCCCCGCAATGTCTTCGTCCTGCAAACGAATAGTCCCCACGGAGGGTCATGTGGGGTTCGGTGGCCGTCCTTGCACGGGTGTCTGTGTGTGTGTGCGGGTCCACGTGGCTGTGCCTCCAGCAGGCTGGGCGGGATCCTGTCTGCTGGACGCAGGGGATCACTCTGCACCCTGGCCATGCCGGCCGGGCTGGCGCTGGCGCTCCAGTGGCTATGGATGTGAGCTGTTGCTGCTTGGCCCCTGCCAGCCCTTCGAGCTGGCACTCCTCCGCCCTGGCCCTCCAACACTCGCGGGGCGGCCCCGAGACCCCATAAGGAGACCTGGGGGCCAGACCAACTCCCAGGGCGGTTCTGAGTGCAGGCAGGGCTGAGAACCACTGCTTTAGACAGTGGGGTCAGAGACCCCGGCCCTGGGTGCTGGGAGAGGTCATCTGCCAGGGGGTGTGGGGCCCCAACTGGAGGAGTGGGGGCCACTTGGCTGGGAGCTCCCGCGTGGGGCTGCAGCCCCAGGGGACACTGGCCCCGGTCTCTCGGGCCTCGTCTGGGGCCTCTGGGAATCTAAGAGGAAAGGGCCACCTTCTGGGGCTCTGCCACTGTCCCAGGAGGCCAGGACTTTTGGAAGATGGCTCTGAGGCGCAGCCTCCCCTGCAGCCCAATCCGAGAGGGAGGGAAAGCTTGGGGATGGAACGTCACTTTGGACTGGTTTTCCAGTTTTCTTCTTTCGGGTATGGCGCCATGGTTGTGTGGTGATGCCACAGCCGTGGGGTCTGCCATTCTTAAGGGAGTGTGTGGGACAGGGCAGGCTGGGGCTGGCTTCTGCCCCCTCCTCCACCTGCCTGCCCCCTCCCCCACCTGCCTCCTCCTGCCTGCCTCCATCACCCGACCTGCTCCTCCTAACCCCACATCCCCACCTGCTCGCCTGCCCCCCTTCCCCACTGCCCCTGCCTGCTCTCTGTCTGCCAGTCGCTGGCCGGCTCTGGAGCCGGCGGGAGCAGCCTGGCGGAAGCAGCAGGCACCGGGTGAGCGGCCTCACACTGCGGCTGGCCCGGCCTCGCCTCCTGCAGCCCCAGCCCCCTGCAGGCTGCAGATGAGCAGGCTTCCTTCTGGGAGGGCAGGTCTGTCTTCTCCCGGTAAGGCTGTGCCCTCGGCCCCGCTCGCCTGCCCCCCTTCCCCTGGCTTTGTCTGGTTTCCTTGGGAATGGTTGTAGGAAGGGATGCTGCAGATGGGGACAGATGGGGCTGCATCGAGGGGACTCGGCAGAGGGCTCAGAAAGAAAGCCCTGGGGTCAGCCGGGGGAATGGTGATGGTGACAGGAGACTGGCGCTCTTGGGTTCCCTGTGGCTTCCCAGCTTTCCAGCAGTGTTAGTTTAAAAGAGCACTTCCTGGGTGTATGAGACTAAGTCCTTTATGGGATGTGTTTTTGTGTGTTTGTCTGTGCACGTGTGTGCATGTGTATGTGCATGGGTTTGTGTGTGTGCATGTGTGTGCACGCTCTGACCTGGCTGTGTCAGAGGCAGCCTCAGAGACCAGCCGGCTCAGTGGGCTGGGGTGACGTGGGCAAGCTGACCACTTCCTTCTTGCAGAATAGAAGCAGATAAGAACAGTTCTGGTCTCGCCTGATCACAGCACACGCACGCACATGCACACGCACACACGTGCACAGGGGGCTTGCAGGATGGGACAGGTGGACCGGCAGGGCTTTGGGGTTTTGTAGCCACACAGAAGCCCCTTGCATGGTGACCCGGCAGGAGTCCCTGCCTCGTCCCGAGGAGAGGGCCGAGGTGTGTCACAGGGCTCCTGTAGGGGCCTCGGGACGTGGACAGCTGGGCTTTCTGGCTCTTCAGGGGGAGCCCCGGAGGTGGCCCGGCCTTGTGAGGATGTGGTCAGTGGGCGGAGTCCTGTGGCCTCCTTCAGACCTGCTAGACAGAACAGTGACCAGGGTTAGAAGTGGCCTCCTGAGATCTGAACTCAGAGGGCCTGGAGGTCGGCCTCTACCGGGCTCTGATTCTTGACCTGCGTTGCTTCCGTTTCAGGGATAAACGCCCAGGCCCGGAGGCTGCAGCGGAGCCGCGCCAAGGGAACCCCAGCCCTGGCCCCAGGGGGCGCCCGGAGCCCCCCTCCGCCCAGGCTGCGCCGCACTGTCAGCGAGACCAGCCTGAGCCAGGCCGCCATCCTGCCTGATGCCACCCGGGGCCCCGAGGAACCCAGCCAGGACGCCATGCGCTACTCGCTCTACGAGTCGCCCCACCTGCTCCTTCTGCAGGGCTACAGCCAGCAGCACGTGAGCCGCCTCTCCCCAGCCCAGCTGCCCCGGGAGGCGAGCGGGCGGCCAGCGGGCGGCTCTGGGTGGGAGGCCGCTCTGGCCCTGAGCTGAGTGGGCTGTGAAGTCATGTGGCCACAGTAGCTCTGGCGATGATGGGGCTGTAGGAATGGAGTGGGTGGAGACCACCACGTCGGGCCCATCCTAGACTCTGGAGGAGGGGGAGGGCTTCCCCACCCTCTGCTTCCAGAGCATTCTTTGTTCAGGCCTCAGGAGGAGGCAGCAGGGCACTGTGAGGAGGATCTCCCAGCTCCTGACATATGGGCCCAGTGTTCACCTGTCACCAGGCCCCCTCACAGAGAGTTGTCTACCACCTTCCAGACTGTGCCTCAGGCCACATCCTGCCCTGGCTTTAGGGAAGGGGCTGGGCGGGTGACCAGGGCAGGTTCCAGGGCACAGGTCTGCAGTCTCCTCCAGGTGGTGGCGGATGCCTGGTGAAGGGCTCACGCAGGCTGGGGGCCTCACGCAGCCTCGAGTGTAGTGCAGGACAGCGTTCCCTGAGGAGGCACAGAAAAGAGGCCGCCTGTTCCCCGCACCGCCTCCGCCAGCGTTTCTTACCACTTTCGTCAGAAGCGTGTTGGCTGGACGGGTCTAGCCCTCAGCAGCCCCACCGTGTCGCTGCCCCGTAGAAGTCTGCTCTTCCTTCCTCCTGTTCTCAGAGCTCCCTGCCTGCTCCTCCCTCCGTGCTCACTTTGCGACGTTAGGGCTTCTGGTGCTCAGGTCTTAGAAGGCACCTTTCCTGGCTCAGCTGGAGCAGCGGAGGAGGGGCTTCCACACAGCTGGTCATGGATCACCTGGGGAGGTTGGCAGCGCTTGGTCCGCATCTGTCTACCAGGGCCTGTTTCCAGGTCAGCCCTTGTCTGGCCTCTCGTGTCTCAACACTGGAGTCGCCTCTGGGTCTCTGGTGTGCTGCCGAGGCTGCTCTGGGAAACCTCCTCCCCTGGGACAGGATGGGCACCCAATGTGGGGCGTGCTGGGGACGAGCAGCAGGTTAGGAAGGGGGTCCCCAGCCCGGGACACCGAGAGCCAGGAACAGCAGTCCCGGCCACACAGTTTAGGTACCAAGGACTGGGACACCTTTTTTCTTCCTCTCACTGACTGAATTGCCCGAGGTGGCGTCCTGCCCCTGACGTCTGGTGTTTGCGTTTCAGGACAGCCTGGTGTACGTGCTCAACCGGGAGCGGCACACAGTGGGCCAGAGGACCCCCTCCAGCAAGCCCAGCATCAGCCTGTCGGCCCCCGACATCCTGCCCCTTCACTGCACCATCCGCAGGCGCCAGCCCTCAGGCCGAGAGCAGGCAGGGGGCCGGCTGGTCCTGGAGCCCATCCCCGGGGCGCCCGTCTCCGTCAACTTCTCGGACGTGGGGGGCCAGACTGTAGCGCTGCGCCACGGGGACCTGCTCTCCCTGGGCCTCTACTACCTGCTGCTGTTCAAGGACCCGACGCAGGCCCAGCCCCTGCCCGCCCAGGCCCTGGCCCGCCTGCGGGCTGTACCGCAGAGCTGCAGGATGTGCGGGGCTGTGCTGCGGGCCCGGGGCACCTCCGCCCCCTCGCGCGCCGCCCTCCCCCGGCCGCGGCAGCTGCATCTGGAGTTCGAGCCCGAGGTGGAGGACACGCTGCTGCAGCGGATCATGACGCTGATCGAGCCGGGCGGCGATGACCACAAGCTGACCCCCGCCTTCCTCCTCTGCCTCTGCATCCAGCACTCGGCCACCCGCCTCGAGCCAGGCTCCTTCGGGCAGCTCCTGCTCAAGATAGCCAAGGCGATCCGCGAGACAGTCTGGGTCAGTTGCAGGGGTGGGCGGTTCCACTGTCCAGCGTCCATGGGCCGTGGGAGGAGCTGGGTGGCAGCTGTGGCCGCTGGGGTGGAGGTTGTGAGTCCCTCTTCTATCGGAGGCCAACCTTGGCTTGCCCAACTGGCCACACCTCCCAGCCCATCGGGGAAGCAGCGGCAGCAGGACCACTAGGGAGCCTGGAGTGTCTGCTGCGGCACTTCGACCTTGCAGGGTCAGCCGTGGCCTCATGAGCTCTGGTCCCGTGTCCCTCCCCGTGGCCCAGCCCCGCCCCGCCATGTGCCGAGTCACGAGGTGCCCTGGAGTGCTGAGCTCCCATCTAGCCTGGTGCCCCATACTTTCCGCTGAGAACAGGTTGAGCTGCTGCCATCACCCCACTGCAGAGCCCTCGTCAGCTTGGTGGTGGGAGCACAGAACAGGTCGGCTTCTGTACACTGAAACACTTCCCTCCAGGACAGGGTCTCTAGACTGTGGCACCAGGCATGTTTTGGACAGAATTCCTTGTGGTGGTGCCCACCTGTGCACTGTAGGATGTTGAGCAGCACCCCTGGCCTCCACCCACGACGTGCCAGTCGGACTCCTCCCCTCCCCTCGCAGAAATGGCTCCAGGCACTGCCAAACGTCCCCTGGGGGCCAGAGCGCCCCAGGTGGGCAGCACTGCCGTCGCACAGCCAGCCTGTCCCATAGGGCGAGGGTGGGAGTGAGGGCGAGGGCTGCAGCAGGCTGCCTGGGTCCAGCACTCACGGCCCCCGTCCCTCTCCTGCCCCTCCAGTGACCGGACTCCCTGGGGACCTGAAGGATGGCTAGTGGTCACACACAGTCCTTCAGAGACCCCTGTTCATCTCGGTCCTGCTTACCCCGGGGCAGACCTAGGAAAAGCAAACCATTTGGCTGTGTAGAAACCAGATAGATTCCTCAGATTAAAATCTACATTGAAAATGTTGGAAACTTTTTAAAAGCAAAAGCTGACATGGGCTGCCACTCCAAAAGTTTGTACAAGCGATTCGTGTGCATTGTGGGTTTCCGAGCCATGTCTCCCAGTGTACTGCATGGAATTTGATGTTAGTGTCTCCACGATGTGGTCACTTCCCCTCCATGCAGTCATGTGCACAGGCCAGGTGAAGTCCCTGACATGCGGAAGCCTGCCCGCAGCAGGGTCAGCAGTGACCGAGGGCCTGACGCTAGAGGTTGTAAGTTTCCCCATGAATCACGGCCCTTCCCTGAGCCTGCTCTGGGCCAGACGCTTCCTAGTAAATCAGATAGTGTTTGATTTAATTCTCACACAACCCTGACGACGTGGGTGCCACGTCTCATGTCACAGCTGAGGACACCGAGGCAAGGAGGGTGTAAGAGACTCCTGAAGGATCATGGGGGTGGGTGGTGAACTGGGTTCTGGCCTGAGCCCCTGGGGTGAGCCCTGCCGTCATGGTGCAGGCGTGGACACCGAGGCGAACCCCCTCACCCGGAGTCCGGAGCTTGTCTTAAAGGCGTCTGAATCAGGAGGTGCCTGCGGTGCTCCCCAGCGTGGTGTTGGTAAACCTCCACCCCGTCTGTCCAGAGCCCCTGAAGTTTCATTTGTTCCTTCATTTCCCAGGCATCAGCAGCTCTCTCTCCATTCCTCTGTCCTCACGTTTCTCGTCAGCTACAGGCAAACGTGCGCGTCTTGGAAGAACAAGTAACTGAGTCAGCACTGAGGCTTGCTTCCCAGATAGCAGCTTGCAACGAAAGCAAGAATCGAGAAATGTCTCGATTAAAAGTGATAGAAAATGTCAGCTGACCCTGAGTCCCTGTTGGGACGTTTAAATATATCCGGAAATACTCCAGCACCTGTTCCTCTGCTCGTGACCACCGTGGCTGATGTTTAAAAGTGTATGCATTAAGCTTCACAACAGAGTGTCAGTAGAATCTTAGTTCTGCTGCCTATAAAGTGTTTGGCCTGTCGTTACCCTTTCTTAAATGGCCGGTTATGTAAGCGAGGTGGTTGTGAAATATTTCTATTGTAGGAAATATGTAGATCATATTCGGTGACGGAATGAGAAGATATCAAACCAAATGGAAAAACACTCTTTCCAGCATGGCTTAGAGTAAACAGCACGGTACAGGATGTCTGGCCACGGGGCCGTATTTTTATGTAGATAATGTAATGTGTATTTGGTGGTGTTCTCTTTGAACATAACCTGGGGTATCCTGTTTTTCTCATATTTGCTTTTTTTTCTTTATAATTGTAGGAGAAAACCAAAGAACTGGCGGAGAAGCAGGCGCACCTGTAAGTACGGCCCGGTCCCTGTACGCGCCCACCCCTTAGGCAGCTGGTTCCCAGTGGGCCTGCACTTCCCCATAGAGCTGAGACCCAAGGGGGTCCCCCAAATACTTCCAGGGTCAGCTCTGCGCTTCAGCCAAACTGTCTTTCCATCTCAGAGTGGCGTTTCCACTGCTTTAGTTACCTCCTGGGAAGCTCCGTGTTTGGGGGGTTTCTCCAGGGCGTCCATAGGTGGAATGGGCCAGCCTCTGTGAGGCCTCCTCCACTCTTCTCGTCCCTTCCCCTCGTTACCTGCTTCTCCAGGGAAAGGCACGACTCCCTGTGTTGAGAGAGGGCAGCACATCTCCACTCTCCAACGTCTGTTTTCATAAAAGCACTATTTCTAGACTTATACACCGCTGGGGAGACTCGGGGAAACTATTTGGCATTAACAGTAAGGACGTGCACGTCCCGGGACCCAACAGTCCCACTCTCGAGTGGACGGTGCAGAGAAACGCCTTCACACGGAGGGCAGGACACATGTGCTCAAGGCCTTGTCTGTAAGCGCAAGAGCTAGGGGCACCCACGTGTCTGTGGCAGGGGAAGGGCAGCGTACTGGTGCAGGGGACACTGGGCAACAGTGACAGCAAAGGAGCTGCTGCCACGTGCTCCCTCAGTGCAGTGGACTCTAAAGCCTTACATACATATAGACACGCATGTGAAGTCCAGCTAAGCCCTCCCGTGTAAGAACACATGTATGTGGTGACACCCCAAGGCCGAGCCGAGGGGAAGGTGATGGTCGCTGCCCATCGTGGGGGAAGGACACGCGGGGCCTTGAGTCCCACCGCGGCGCTCAGAGGTTTGCTTCATTCCTGTTCATCCTCATGTATAAAGCCAGGCCATTTATAAAGCACGTTGCTGCCCTGTGTGCTTGCTTAGATGCCCTCCGCGGTCCTGTGAGGGAGACAGGAGGAGGTACCATCACCTCCCGCTTTCAAAGAAAGGAAGTAAAGGTGTCGAGAGAGAGATGGAAGCCTCCGTAAGGAGCAGCAGAGCTTCGGAGTTGCCCACTGCCCTGCCCAGGCTGGAAGTTTAGCCCAGAATTCCTGTCACTCCCAGTGTGCGCTCCCTGGCTCCTGTTGACATCAGGACGCTGGAGCGACATCTGAATAATTGTGCGCTGATGGGTGACGGGGCTCTGAGGCTGGAGTTGCTCTGCCGCCCAGCTCCACAGTCGTGGGGCTCAGTAGAGGCCACTGGGGGACACTGCGTCGGAGGATGATGAGCAGCTTGCCAGTGTGGAGAGTATGGCAGAGGCATAAGTGCACTCGGTGGAGTCCTACACCGTCTGGGTTTTCTGTTTGGGGGGGAGTTTAATGGGGGAGTGGCCTTGAGGCTGAGTGATAGGTGAGGGGCCACCCCCGCCCCAGCTTGGCCCCAGGACAGCTGGGGTCCCAGGTTGAGGTAGAGTGTGGAGGTGATGGAGCTGGGGTTTTAGGGGTGTGCCCAGCCCTCATCCTCCCATCACAGTGTCTGTCTGCTGGGGGTGGGGGGCGCTGCTGGGCCCTTTAGCACTGTGCTCCCGCTGACAGGAGGAACCAAGGCTTCCCTTCTGCAACTCATGCTCATTCTGTGTTTTCCAGAACTTGTATCATTAAGGCCTAAAAACAGCCCTGTGTCCATCTCCAGTGAATGCTCTTTTTTTCCCCGTTTTTTAAAATTATGAATCACTTCCACAATACAGAAAAGTATAGAATATATCAGTTACCCATGCACCCACGCCTGAATTTAACGTTATCAACATTTTGCCCCATTTGCGTCAGATCTTTGGGTCATGTGCTTCTCTTTAAATTTCAAGTGACTGTTGGATTTTGCTAAATGCTTTTTCTGCGTCTGTGATCATCACACGATTTTTCCCTTGAATCTGTGAATGTAGGTCCTACATTAGGTTTCCTGAGCCGTGATTGAATTCCTGGGAGTAAACCCTTCATGACCATCCATTTTTTTAGCACGGCAAGATACGGTTTGTCGGCATTTTAATTAAGATTTTCCCATCTGAATTCGTAGGTAAAATTGGTCTGTGAATTGATGTTTTTTGTGTTGTCCTCGTCTGATTCTAATCACAAGGTGCACAGAAAATGAGTCGGGCGGGCTTCACTGCTTTCAGTTCCTGGGACCGCTTAGTTAGACCTGAGGATGTGGGTGGGCCTCAGGGCTCAGCGGGGAGGAGCGTGTAGAGACATCCGGGCTGGGCCTCTGGGGCACCGAGATCTGTCTGCTGGCTCCATTTCTTTAAAGATTATTGGTTTAGGGCCGGCCCCGTGGCTTATCGGTTAAGTGCACGCGCTCCGCTACTGGCAGCCTGGGTTCGGATCCCGGGCGCGCACCGATGCACGACTTCTCCAACCATGCTGAGGCTGCGTCCCACGTACAGCAACTAGAAGTTGTGCAACTATGACGTACAACTATCTACTGGGGCTTTGGGGAGAAAAAGGAGGAGGATTGGCAATAGATGTTAGCTCAGAGCCGGTCTTCCTCAGCAAAAAGAGGAGGATTAGCATGGATGTTAGCTCAGGGCTGATCTT